GAGCATTCTGCTCAGACAGGTCGTCGAAAACTTGAACTTCCCGCGCCTCCTGCCGCGCTTTTCGCTCGTGCTCCTTGCGCTCCTTCTCTTTCCTAGGTCACGCGAAGGAGAGCAATGCGGCGATCCAGGAGCAGTATCTTTTCGGTGGCCGCCTTTGACCATTTAAGGACGCCTTTTGTGTCGTCGTGCTTCAAAGGTCTGTGCACTTCGCCATGTTCTCAGAAAGCGGTTCAAATTTCATCGACCGCACCCCTGAAAACACCCGCCATTCCCAACCATGGTCAAAACTCCTTGGGTGGGCAAACAATTTTCTATACTGACCACCCCCACCAAGCCCAAGTGCAAGGGTGTCTTGACCAAGGCCTCTACTGCCAGGAAAACTCCAAACATGGGCAGTTTCCCTTTGAACTCCCTTTAAACTTTAAACCCACCTCAGAAAGGGTACCCTTAAAGAAGACACACATGCATTTGTGTCCCCCGACTTTGACCACAAAGAGCTGAGTTAAAGTCGTCCCGAAATCCAGTAAGGACCCTTTTTGGATGGCTAGAGAACAAGGGAGACCAATACTGTTCAATACAACTTCAAGCCTCTTAAACTACTTTGAGCGACATAAGCCCGGCAAAACACGGCCAGGAGCCAAAGGAAAATGAAGCGACGCACCCGTCAATCTCACCTGCTTTGCCAAGGGTCGATTTCCGAAAGACTCAAGGTCACGTGAGCAGCTGACAATATGAGCCGGCCCACAGAAAACCGGTGAGGCAGGCCACCTTGACAGGCATCCTTCTGACCAATCCACCCCTGCAAGCGTCACCGAAATACCGCAAAAGGAACAATTTGAGATCAGATGTAGTTGGTTCACTTGCAATTGGGAAATCAATGGCACTCGGCGCATCCGCGATTATATTTTGCTAGCGAATGGAGATAATTCCATCGGCATCACTGAAAACTGCAAACTCAAAACCCCAATTCTCGATAGACACAGCCCTTCCACAACCACTTGCCCCATCCGTCTCTGCGTTGCTCAATCGACTTTCCCGCCGAGGCAAAGGCTTCTTCCTCTCCTCCTCCTCCCTCCTTCGTTGCTCTTCCAGCTCGCGCTCCCGCTTGGCAAGTTCCTGTCCGGCCAAGAATCTACCATAGACTCGTTACTGATCAATTATATATGTATGTATACTCGGTGGCTTTCTGCTCCCTGTTAAAAGTTTAACTCTCAGTCGTTTAATTCCACGTTTGGCTCCCTGGCCGATCCTGGGTTGCCAGCACCCCGCCATAATGGCAGATGCCGACAAACGCGATGGTTGAGCTTGCTCATCCCAAGTAAACAAGGTCAACTGTCCACTTCTTAGGCTGCACAGTTTGTAGGGCGATTGCTCTCCTCAGTGCAGTGAGACCAAAGATTTCTTGTGAAGGGGGTGTGTCCGAATGCATCAAGGAAGTTCCAAAAGATTCGCACTACCTCATGCGGCAATTATGCCATTTCAGCGGTGTATGAAATGCACGCTCCCACCCCTCGGTCGCGTTTCACTTCTGCCAGCGTGTTCCCTTCCTGAGCCAAACCATCACTCTGGTCTGGCAAATCTTCCAGAATTCTGCATGCTAGCCAAGCACCGCCTTGGCGACCATGTAGTGCTCCCCTCACTCTTTTTGAGGTTCGATTAAAACCCCTGGCCATGGAAGTTTCAGCGGTTGGAGAGGCCACCGCCTTCCAGATGCCAGTCGTAGGCCTCATCCTTTTCCCCGAAACACGGGCCATTGCAGGCCCCGGCCAGCAGCTTCACCGGGCGTGGGAGACCAGAAATGGCTACGGAAAGCAACCTTGCAACTAAAACTCTTACTGGTTTAATGGAAAGTTAAAGTCCTGACATCCAAGCAAAATGCACCAAAGTATACACACCAACGGGGCGCAAAATTGCCAACCAAGAGTTCATCCAGGATTCCATACAAGCAGCTGTTGATTTAGGGAAGCGTCAAGGGATCTACAAAAAGATGCCACAAGCGCAATGGTGCCAGGATTAACCGGAAGTTTCCCAGTGTGGGTGTGTTTTTTTGAAACAACCTGTTTGGGGTTATTCCAGAGAAACACTACAACGACCGCTTTGGGTCTCCTGTTGTAATGTCAAGAGACGGCAAGGTGACGTCCCGTGGGACGCTGTCCACCGAACCCTCCAGCTGTAAATACCAACCACGTAGAAAGGTGTATACGGTCAAACCGTTATAGCCGAACCCGTGCAAATGTTGTAAGGGAGAAGGAATAATAGTTACAACAGTGGTCCTGACAAATGCAGCGCAAGCGAAGTGTTTTCCGCTCTCAATTGCCGATCACGTATGAACGCAGCTTCACATAAGATCTTGAACCTCACTTGTGACTTGAGCCAAATGGCAATCAATGGAACCTGTAAGCAACACAAACACGGACCTCAGAACTGCTTCCCAATTTAGGCACGGGGCCAGGAGGGTTTTAACATCCCCCATTTGGGTCGCATTGTTCATCATGCGGTCCAAACACCACAAAACGTTCCACTGGCCACGGCTTCAGCTACGAAACTGTGTCGAACACTCTTTCACTCACTATTGCTACACCGTCCATTCATTGTGAAACTTGCCAGGTCCAATTAAGGCAGAAACATGCATCCGCAAATCGTAGCACATTCCTATACTCAGATGCAAGAGACATTTTGCCTCTAGCCAATACGCAACCACTTGAAATCCCGGCTGCCGCATTTGCGCATCGCGCAGCCGTCATCCACAGAAGTGGGTTGGCCATAGAAATCCATAGCAGCGCACGGTCATGTGCCATCTGAATACCATTGGCAAAGAAGATTTGGCGAGCAATACATGCAAAACATAGCCATTCCAGGTACCATGAATAATATATATAATGGAAAAGAAATCATCCATGATGTAATAGTTCCATCCATGAATATCCGGAATGTCATAGTCGTCGGAATATGTAAATGTATACATATCCATTCATCTTGGACGTATGAAATCATATCATGATGTAGAGTCGTTCCATCGCAATGATATTGATGAGACGCAAGCAACAGATGGGGACTAGCCCACATCGTGCCGCAATCAACATCTGCATTACGCATACCTGTCTCCAATGGACAGTCTGTGGGTACGTCGACGGAACTCTTCGTCCAAATTCTTTTGGGCTTCTCGCGCCCGGACACACTTCTTGTGATGATCTTCTGGTATCCAATGCCCCATTCGGAGGCACCAATCCAGCAGGGGTGTGTCGCATTTATTCGGGTCGGTGGCTGCAATAATGGCGCTCACATTGACCGAATAACCATATTTGCCAAGGTTCAAGCCTTCCCTTACGAACGATATATATTTACAGTTGAAAGCCAGGGAAAAGCATCTGTAAATGATATGACCAGGAGCTTCATTTCGTCCTTGGTGACGTCGAGGATTCTCGCTGCAATCCACAGCTTGTAGAATATGTATAACCCCTCGCATTTGTATACCATCAGATGAATGTATTCATCACGCTCCTCAGCCGACCGGAAGGTCCTTGTCCGAACATTCTGAGATTGGCTAATCTTCTGGACCGTTGACGGCAACAGGATCCCTTCCTGATCGTGCTCAGTCATGTTGGGGTACTTCGCGAAGTCGTTGTGGTATGGGCAGCCTGGCTTCCCTTCGAGCGCGGCATCGACCGTTCTCTTAAACCACCTTCGAACATCCCCCACATCTTTGACATCTGCAGAGTGCGATGAATCCCGCCATGTATTGAGCTTCGCGCGGCTCATCAAGGCAAATCGCCATCTGCTGGGTATTTATGATATCCCGCGATGCCAAGCCATTGTCGCGGTATTGCCAACCGCCATCTTCCTCCTCAGACATGTAGCCGGACGTGTATCCTTGCGTGTCCATGTCGTCTTCTTCAGGAACGTCCTCCGCCTCATCATCCTCTTCCTGTGCTGCCGCATCATGGTTGGCTTCGTCTTGCGCGCGCCTGGCATCACCCGAGACATTGGGCCTTTGGTTGCCCTCGTCGTCGTCGGAACTGATGTGGATGTAGAATCTCCCGGTAGAGATCAATTGCGCTCCACATTCCAGGCACACACAGAAGCATGTGGGAATCGCGGTCGCACATGACGGACATATCCGGCACCTCAGTCCTTCCCATGTCTCGTCATTCAGGATGACGACTTTGCTGATCTCGTCCCTGACCTCGTTGGTCTGCGCATCAAACTCCTCCAACTTGTTTTCCCGAAACAGTTTGCATGCACGATCAACCATGTCTTTGATGTAGTGCAGATTGTCGGCACCTGCCTCGGTCTCAGGCATCCTCTCGTTGATCTTCGCGACGTTCTGGAGGAACATCGCAGCCGATTCCTGGGAGGAGTTGACGAAACCCGGACAGATCTCGTTTTCCACACATTTTGAGTACGCTCGCTTAACGTCCCCGTACTCCAGGCGTTTCCCTCCGTTGCTTTTGCCAATCCAAATGGACTTGACCTCATAGAACGGGATCACGTCAAAGACCATAAATGTACCATTTGCCGCGACTCCAGCTCCATACCGCGCGAGGGTTGCACTGGGAATGTAGATGATCGCAATCGGATCCCCCGACCTTACGTTTCGTAGCGTCATCTTCGTTGCTACGTTCATCTCATCCCATGGAGCAAATGCTCCGAAGTGCAATGCTAGCCTGTTTCCGCCATCGATCCCGCCGGGGACTAGCCCACAGCGTACGATGCTTGGCAGGTTCTCCACATACGTCACATGGAATGCTCCTCCGAGAGAATCACCCATTCTTGCGGAATACCTATTTGCCAGTGCGGATGAGCTCATGAATCCAAAATCACTGTGACCAGTTGTGACTCGGATGCACCAAGGCCTGTACCATCCATCGCATCTGTTGAACATCCTGTCGATGTCATCCCGATCCAGGCCAGCATAGTTCATCTCCTCCCTGGCCGCCTTCATGTCATTCGGGTTCATGACGCTTGGAAACCTTGCTGCCAGGACCTGAAACCTCGATTTCTTTTGTCCGGACTCCTGCCACTTGATCACTTCCATGATGCCCATGTATCGTTTTGCTCTCGAAGTTGAAGGTGGGAATATGTCGTTATTTCGGTCGTCAATGACTGCGTCGATGTCGACCCATCCACCTTCATCGCATCTGAAAACACTTCCTCGGCAATTGCCGATTTTGTGCCGAAGGACTCTGCATAGGTTATGAGATAGCTGGTTTGCTTGATCTTTCGTAGCAAATACCGAGCGATCGTCGCCAATCTTGCATAGTGGAGCACCGTCAAAAGGAGCAACGCAGAAATTGACGCTCTTGCCAAGCTGCATCACATCCACCTGCTCAAGGTTGGCACCCTTGGGAAAGTACTTGGGGTCAACAATAGACGCGTACGCCCATGGCATATGCACATCACTCACGTCGCCGTACTTCGGGATGTAGCATGGGATGGTGTCACATCCTCGCTCTAGCGTCGTCTTGAACGTTCTGTTGTCCCCGCACGGATTGTAGGTGAGGTCCACGCCACCGCATTGTAGCTCTCCTCCCTCAGCCGTGTCAGCCATCTCCACCAGGTTGATGGTATAGCTATACATTTCTATTGTCTCTTTCCCTTCTTGTCCCCCTTTCTTGCGTTCCTTGGACGTCGATGAGGACGGCTCTTCCGTATCCCCCATTTCTTCATCCGAGGAAACATGATCGCTGCTGAGAAGTTCACGGATCTTCTTCATCGCCTTCTCATTCCCAGCAGCCTCCTCATAGTTCTTGCAGTCGCCGTCGTGGGCCAGGTTCGCGCATCTCATGCAAATTCCCATCTCTCCCATGCACTTTTCCATTGAGACTAGGAATCCGAGTGCCGCTCTCCGCCCATCAATCAATCGCTGCTTCTTCTCTTCTTTCTCAACGTTGGGCTGAGAGCTTCGGCTCGGGTCTGGTACTTGACCAAGACCGTCACCTTCGCTCTCTGTTGCCTTCCTCTTGGATCCTTGGGTGGCATGCTCGGTCGTCAGGGATCGCGGATGTCTGGGCTTGATCTTGTTCATGATGTCCAGCACTTCTTTCGTGGGCGCCCCGAGCTGGGCGGATGGTTTGTTCCGCTTTCGGTTCTGGCCCGTTGTGTGGCTCACGTTCCCG